AGAAAGAAAGAAAGAAAGAAAAAGAAAGAAAGAAAGAAAGAAAAAGACGTTATGTTAAAATAATTGTTTTGCTAGAAATGAAATTTAAAGTTTACCTCTGATAAGCCTGAAATAGAAGTGCTAGACTAGTACATCATTCTTTGGTACATTTTTTTTTCATTAAGGTTGGGTCTGATATATATTTCCTGTCAATATACTTTTGCACTATGATTTCTGAGAAGTATTTATGCCCCTTATAGATATCAATGTGGGCAAATTTTTTAACAAATAATTCTTTTTTATGACAACTATCAAGTTTCAAGTTCAGTCCAGAGGTGGTTTCTGTAAACTCCTTGGAGAGCACCAGCATAATAATTTTGCATCAGGTATTCTTATGCTGACTTATATCTTTAAAACTTTCCCATTTTGTGCCCTCCAAATATATTGGACTATAACTTCTATAATCTCCCATCAGAATTCTGATGCTAGCCAATAAACCCTGTACATTTGCAGGAACCTAGATTGGAAAAACCTGCTTATTTCTGTAAATATGATGGCAAAATTTATTTTGGCATATGGAATAAAAGCCCAATATTTTCTATTCCAGCACCAATTTCATAGAAAGCAAGCTTATGCGTCTTAGAAACAAAGAGCTTCCTAATTTTGCATCACTTTCCATTTAGTCATTCTGTGTTAACTTATCTTTACTTGTGCATACTGTATGCACATTTTTTAGTTGTCACCTGTCTGCTAAATGTGTTCTGCACATGCATCCAATAATCTTCAACTGGATCATAGCAATATATTGCTTTTGTGAGTCCTCCAGCAACATAAATGAGATTGTTTAATGATACAGCTGTAATACATCTCTTTGCAATGGGGATTGTTGCACGAAGTAGCCAAGAATTAGTATCAGGATCATACGACTGAACCTGAAGAGAAGGAAATACATGTTAGTTTTTAGTACCTCTTCAATATAAATTATATAGTGTTTATAAACTCTGCTTTCTTTGATTCTTAACATCAATTCACTAAATGATGTAATAAATGATGACCAAATCAAAGATTATCCTTTACTTACTGTAAGGTATTATAAAACTTGCACACTTTTCTTTTTGGCTCAGTTAGAAAATACAATTCTTTAAAAATAAAAGATGTACTTGAATGTCATAAGGGACCATAGTTTATCCTGAGAAGAATGAAACTAGCCTTTCCCTGGTTTATACATGTGCCCTCCCATCTTCTCTAGCAAGCTTGTTTTTTAATTTACTACTATGCAGTATGTCATCTGGATCCAACATAGTTAAACTTATGGTTTAAAACACATTGTAAAACATAAAATTGAAAGCAAGTCGTTTCAGCATATGATAACACAGAATTTCCTTAATACATGAAACTCTGAAAGGAAAACTTTCTGGCCTGCAGGCTCAGTGAGGCCATTAGGCCTTCCCATCTGGAACCATTGAACCTTGACCAAGATGAGAAGGTCCATCTCTCTGCTCATATATAAGTAGGGAAAACTATTTGTTGCAGAGAAATTATCATGCTCAGGCTCTCTTGTCACTTGCACTGAACCACAGCATGTATATGCCTTGGCAATGTATTTTTTTTCTTCTGCATACCCATGATGTTGCCTTTACCTAATCCTCAGCCCAGGACAACAGGCTCAAGTTGTCCTTAGTTGTACTGGTGTTAAAGAAATTCCCTTTAAGCCGACATTTAACAGCAGCTGCAAAGTGTGTAAAATGCTTATTCATTGCAACCCATTATGTTAGAAGTGAAATCAAGTGACCAGTAGAACACTGGATTAAAGCAGCAGTAATTGGTTGTTTCAGGTTGATACAGGCATACCTCTTTCTTTCCAGGGCCTGATCAGCTTTCTCTGCCACCATTCCGCCATTAACTCCCTAAACAGATGGATGTGGCAGCACTGTGCCAGTGATCTCTCAGAATGCACAGTAGCACTAGACTGCCATGCTGACAGTACTGTAAATGCATTAACTCTTAACTTTGTGTAAGGCTAAAATAGTGTAAGCATGGAGAAATATTGAGACATGCAAATGACAGAAGAGAGGTAGTAGAGAATATCCTCTCTTCTTTGTCCTCTTGGGAGAAATGAATGTCAAAAGAAGTAAAAATGACTGCATAGGAGCATGCTTCTTTTCATTTTCTACCATGGAAGTGAGAGTTGGATATGTCAGAGAAGCATAATAATAAGTTGAATGGAGTTCTTAATTATGTGTGGATTTACAGAGGAAAAAATGGCAGATTGAAGACAGCTCCCCTAAAAACGGAGGTGACAACTGCGGTGAAGAATGAGGAGCTGGTGAGTAAGACTAGCTCTTTGAACCTTTCTGGACAAGGAGATGACTTGAGATTGTCCGCAAGTGCTCCAGACAGCTGTTCCTCACGAGGAGACTGCAAGACAGCAGTCTCCAGCAGGTTTAGAGCTCTGGGAGATGAGGGAATATCCATCTTGCTCAAACCACAGTTGGCGCCTTTGAAAGGACACTAAGTTTGCAGTCTTCCTTTTCTAATCACTTTCGGAAATTGCTTGTTAACTGCTTTTCAGCTATTAGAAACCTTTGAATAGACAAGTTTGACAGCACTGGGTGAGTTCCCCTTCAATCCTTAGCGAAAAAAAGTTTTAACTATAAGTTTAAGAATTTAAAAAAATTTGGGGGGAATAAACAGCAAAAGGGTGATTAAAACTTTGATTTCAAAAAGTTACAAATGGATTAAGCGTCCAGATAAATTTGAAATAAGAGTTTGGATTTAATTTTAAAGAATCCTTCCTGTGGGAAAATGCCTGGTAAGATGTTAAAAATTGGGCACCAGAGGGAACTAAAGAATATAATTAAAGGAGAAGAACAATAAACTCGATTTATAATTACAGAAAGGAGCAAAATATTCTAACATCGGACATATTGAAGGATAGTTTTGAAAAGTGGACTCAGAAGTTAATAGTGTCAACAAAGACATCTACCTCTATAGAGAGACTGTGTCTAAAAGATGTTATGGGAGAGGAACAAATTTTACCTGACAAGATCAAAAGTGGATTTACAAATGACAGGCTACAAGAATGATAAGATGTTACACTAGGCATACAAAAGAAACCAGCTGATGTTTTAATAATTAAAAGGTATATACAAACAATAAACCAAGAGAGTGACCTGGATAATTTTCCTATATTAGATTTACAAAAGAGGCTGTTAAAGTTTTGAAGAATCTTGTGAGAAGGGACAAAGAAAAAATGAAAACAAATTCTACAACACTATTTGAATGGACTGAAGATTAAGACTTTTAGAAGTAAAAGGAAGGAATATAAAGTTGGTTTATTTGATCAAGATTAAAATAGTATGTTGTTATTTTTGGTAACCCATAATTGACTTTTGCTGACACCAGGACTGAAATGACGATGCTTTATGGATTTATTTATAGATAAGATATGGGATATGGGAAGAAGAGATCATTTATTATATTTTAAGGGGAGGTGATAAGTTAATAAATTAGTTATACATGTGATATATGTATCACAAGGTGGGATATATGTATCACAAGGTGGGAAGTCACTTCATTATTACTTTTCTTTTTCTTTACTATATTCTTACTTTTCTTTTTTTAATTTTTCTTTTTTGCACTTTCTACTTTTTCTTTTTATTCTATCTTTCTTTTAGTTTGTATTAGTTTTTACTATTGTAATTATAATCTTTAATAAAATTAAAGAAGTATGTGTAGCAAAAAAAGAGCAAATCAAGAATGAATGGTGATGAACGAATATGCATTTTATGCACATGAGAAACCACTAGACAGAAGTAGATATAGGTCACCTGGTCATAGAACTAAATGAATGAAGATTGAATCAGAAAACAAATATAAGAAAAAATGAATGGGCTGAGAGGAAGGGAAACACCAAGAAAGTCACAGTTAGATGGAGTTGGTGAGTTCCTGAAAAAAAAAGAGGAGAGTAATTCAAAGAGAAAAGCAATATATGAAGTGATGGAT